GCACTTAACCATTGCACCACCAGGGCTCCTTACTCTTAGAAACACTTCAGTATAACAACACAATGTATTGCTATGAGTCTGAGCCACCTCCATGGCACTTAGCAACAACGAGGGAGATTCAGAATAAAACCTTGTCCCTTCCCTGAAGGCAGGCTATGGTTTTACCAGGGAGACAGAAGTAAGTATAGATTAAAATAGTGACAGACACAGGACACATCTGTGTGCTTCTCAGTTCGAAAGTGATGACCTGAAACAATTGAAGGAAAATCACAGAAGCTTTAACCTAGTATCCGCTAAGTGTGAGATCCATGCTGTCAACAAGGACATTGTGTTCAAAGATCATTAAGCTCTTGAAGCCTTCCGAGGAGAGGTGGATAAAAATGGGAAGCTAAAGAAAGGAGTCAAATTGGAGAAATATTTTTAAGGCCAAAAGGCCACGTAATGGCTAACTACTCGGACTGTAGCCAAGCCAACTTAACGTAAACCTCCAGTCTCAGCTGGAGCGCCAACCCCGCCCCCCCCCCGAGTCTCCTCCTTGAAGGCAAAACTGAGCTCTTTTAAGTCGGCTTCCTATTTGTAAAATGTGGTTGATGATAGCACTCCTTTCCTAGTATAAAAGGATGCACGTTCGGGGCTTAGTGTTGCTGGCATATCACAAATCCTCGATAAGGGTAGCAGTGTAGGAAAGAACAAGTCTTGTGAACATACTGGATACAGGCGTGAAGGAGAAGGAGGCATTAGAAAGAAGACCAGGGTTCCCAGTGGAAGGTGTAGTTGTTAGTGGAGCCAGGGATGTCGGGTAGAACTTTTTGTTGACAGTCGCCAGTCTCTGTGGAGGAGGTCAGCAAACATTCGCTGAGCGCACACACCCAAAGCAAACCTGTTGCCACTGAGTGGATTCCAACTCATAGTGACCTTGTGGGACAGGGTCGAACTGCCCCATGGGAAATTTCTAAGGCTGTTATCTTGATAGAAAGGAGCTGTGGTGGCACAGTGCCTAAGGCATTTGACTGCTAACCAGAAGCTTGTGGGTTCACACCCACCAGCCACTCTACAGAAGGAAGACAGGGCAGTCTACTTCCTAAAGATTTACTGCTTGGAAACCCAGTGGGGGTCACTATGAGTCAAAATCGACTCAATGGCAGTGGGTTTGGTTTGTAAGTTTTAGAATCTTGATAGAAGCAGACTGCCACGTCTTTCTCCCACAGAGCAGCTGGTGGGTTTGAACTGCTGACCTTGCGGTTAGCAGTCGGTTAACAGCCAAGCACTTAACCACTGCACCACCAGGACGCCTCTGAGTGCACATAAAGTCAATATAATTGATGAGCTAGAGTTATGCTAAGATGCTGAGAGAACAGAAAGGTAGAGCCTGATCTAGGGACTGGGAGAAGGCTTCCGAGAAAAGATGGTGGTTGTACGTGGCCTTGGAAGATGAGAGGCTTTGAGATGGAGAAGGGTGGAAAGGATTTTCCAGACCGAGGGACAGACATGGGCAAAGGGAGATGGCATAGTGGAGGCAGGACACTGCAGACAGTTTGTCTCTCTGGCCTAAAGAACAAGATGGGTGAGAATTGGGAAATGCAGCTGGAGAGACAGGCAAGGGCCCCTGTTGGACACCCTCCCTGGCCTTGCCTCACTGCTAGCCTGCTCCAGCCTCTTCCTGGCCCTAAGCTGAGGATGTGGCACTGCCTCCGCACTGTGCACACAGCAGTTAGGGCCATCTTCAGCCCCAGGCCCCTCCACCCTGTTATTACTGGGCTTGACATATCCTGTTTTTCTAAGCTTGCCTCACCGGATGGACAATGAGGACCAGCTGGATTAGTGCTTAGAAAAAGGTGGGCAAGATTTCCTGGCTGTGCCATGTCCTACCAGGGCCTGAGATCTTTTCCTCCTCCTCTGGTCCTTGGGTAGGTCCCTGGGTGGCACAGTGATTTGCGTGCACCTACTAACCTCAAGGTGACGTTCAAACCCACCCAGCTGTGCTGCTAAAGAAAGGCCTGGTGATCTGCTTTTGTAAAGATTCCAAACCAGAAACCAAACGCACTGCTGGCGAGTCGATTCTGACTCATGGCGACCCCCTGTGGTTTCCGAGGCAATACATCTTTATGGAAGTAGATTGTGCAGTCTTCCTCCTGAGGAGCGGCTATTTCTGTAAAGATTAACCGCCTCGGAAACCCAATAGGGGTCGCTATGAGTCAGAATTGATGGCAATGGATTTTGGTTTGATGTGTAAAGATCACAGCCAAGAAAAGCCCACGGAGCAGTTCTGCTCTGTCACGCTTGGCTGCTGTGGGTCAGCAGTGGGTTTGGTTTTGGTGTTTGGCCCTTGGGCTGCAACACTCCCGAGGAGGCAGGGGTGTGGCCTGAGGAGGCAGGGGTGTGACCTGTCCCACCCATCAGTGATTCATTTGCCCAGTAGGTCTTTGATAAGCATCTGATGTGTTAAGCATTTGGAATAAAGTGAAGGAATAGCTCAGTCCCTTGAAGACTTCCCCATCCAATTGGAAAAGTACTGCACAAACATTTGAGAATTTATGTAGCAGAAAACAAAACAGCCAAGAGAAGATCACAGGCACCGGAGCCATAATAGTAGCAATGTTGTTGTTAGGTGGTGTTGTCAGTTCCGACTCATAGCAACCCCACGTACAACAGAACAAAGCACTGCCCGGTCCTGCGCCAGCCTCATGGTTGTTGCTGTTTTGGGGCCCATCATTGCAGCCACTGTGTCCATCCACCGTGTTGAGGGTCTTCCTCGTTTTCGCTGACCCTCTACCAAGTGTGCCGTCCCTCTCCAGGGACTGGTCCTCCTGATATCGAGCATAAATAAAGGCAGAGCCAGGTTTTCAGCTAACTGTTACACCTGTGGTTTGTGTAGTCCTCACAACAGCTGTAATTTTTGGATGGAGTCCCTGGGTGGTGCAAAGAGCACATTTGGTTGCTAACCAACAGGCTGGCGGTTCGAGTCCATCCAAGCACCTTGAAAGAAAGGCCTGGTGATCTCCTTCTGATGAACGAGCTGGAAACCCTGTGGAGCCCAGTTCTCCTCTGACACGCACAGGGTTGCCAGGAGTCAGAACTGGCTCCATGGCAACTGGTGTTTGTCCATAAGAGAACTGTATACAGAGAGCTGAAGGGACTTTCCCAAGGTTAAATAGCCTCCAGGTGGTGGAGCCAAGATTCAGACCTGGGCAGTCTACTTCCAGTGTCACCACTGGCTAACCACTGCCTTTCAGCTAAGCCTTTTAGATAACCTATCACCATCAAGTAAGTTCCAACCCATGGTGACCCTATAAGACAGAGTAGAACTGCCCCACAGCATTGCCAAGGCTATCATGTTGTCAGAAAGGACCAGTCCCTGGAGACGGATGTGCTTGGTAGAGGGTCAGTGAAAAAGGGAAAGACCTTCCGTGAAGTGGATTGACACGGGCTGCAGCGACAGGTTCAAGCACGGCAGTGATTGGGCGGGTGGCGCAGGACCGGGCCGTGGTTGGTTCTGTTCACGGGTCATGAGGAGTCGGAGCCAACAGGATGGCACCTACCAAACAGCAGTCCTTACGGATACAGACTGCCATTTCTTTCTTGCAGAGTGGCTGGGGGGTTCAAATGGTTAAATCTTTCAGTTCTCAACCAAGTGCTTAACCACTGTTCTGTCAGGGCTATTTGCCTTTTAGATAAATGCTATGAATTCAGAGAAAGAAGTAATTGCTGTTCCCTGGAGAAGGGAGCTCTGACTGGGGCCTTGAAGCCTGGATGGAATGAGGATACCAAAAACCAAACTCACTGCCATAGAGTGGATTCCGACTCATAGCGACCCCTATTCTGAGGCGATTACAGAAGTAGATTGCCCCATCTTCCTTCTCGGATCAGCTGGTAGGTCTGAACCACCAACCTTCTGGTTAGCAGTCAAATGCCTTAGGCAGTGCGCCACCAGAGCGCCTTAGAATGAGGATGTTGTTGTTGTTGTTATGTGCCGTCGAGTCGGCCCCGACTCATAGCGACCCCTCCTTGGGTTTCCGAGGCAGTATCACTACGGAAGTAGGATTGCCCAACCTTCCTTCCGAGGAGTGGCTGGTGGGTTTGAACCGCCAGCCGTCTGGTTAGCAGGCAAGTGTCTTAGCCACTATGCTACCAGAGCTCCCAGAATGAGGATAGGAAGGGAGAAAGCTCAGGTATTCAATTTAATTACCACTGCCCTTTGCATCATCGCTTTCCACCTAGAACGGCCAAGCTACAACCCCAAACATCATCTAGCCCAGTGGTTATCGAGCTTCTTAGGATGTGGCCTTTTTTCTTTCTATGAAACAGATAAGCGGAACTCCTCTCCTCTCAGAGAGGAGGCCCAGACACACCACACCAACCACTGATCTAGCCCAGTGTCCTTAATGTCCCAGCTTTTCTCTCTCACGTCTGGAGGAGGCAACAGTGGGTCCCAGGACACAGGAATGAAGTGGACATTTTAGCCAGCAAGGAACCAGCTGGCCACCATGCCACCTGCCTCTTGTCTGCTTTCCCTTGTATCTTACCCTGAGTCGAATTGTTGGCAGCTAAAATGGGCAACGGGAGCTCTGGTGGTGTAGTGCCTAAGGCACTTGACTGCTAACCAGAAGCCTGGCAGTTGAAACCCACCAGCCACTCCTCGGAAGGAAGACTGGGCAATCTACTTCCGTATTGATACCGCCTTGGAAACCCAAGAACGGGTCACTATGAGTCGGATCCGACTTGACGGCAGTGAGTTTGGTTTTTGAAAATGGGCAACGGGGAGTAACGAAAGTAGTTCAGGCTTAGGACTGCTATAGAGGAAAATGTGGAGGGTTGTAGTCAGGGGCTTGGGACTTGAGAGTTCACCTAAATCTTCCTTCCCTCCATCCTACACTACACTGTGGTCTCCAGGAAACCTATTGGCCAGCGTAAATCACTAAGAGTGTTAGCTTCAGGGTTTTATCTTACCAGAGGAAAGGGATAGCCAGCCCTGTTCTCACTGTAACCTCTCCCTTCCCTAGATATGTGCAGGTGAAATTTGTCTGTATTCGGACCCAGTCAAACAGGAAGAGAACACCAGCAGCGGACATGTGCCCAGCGTACTTGTTCCTGCGGTACGATGAGAAACTGGATAGACTGTTTATCAGTGAACTGAACACCAAGCATATACACAGTGACTCTAAAACTGTGGGTCCTGGGGGAGACCCTGCTGGCAGATTTCAAAAGGCAATGCACCTGCAGAAACCCCAGCCTATACGACCCCCCTTTGACAAAGCCTTTGACGCTGAGAAGTCCCCAGTCGAACCGTCGTTGTGCTCAGATGAGGTCCAGATGCCCCCAAAGCCTGAGCAGGTCGGCATCACCCCTTCTGACCTGGCCGGTATAGCAAAAGTGATGAGGAACTTTCTCAGGATAGATGAAGGCTCCATGGCCTCCCTCAGCGTGGGCAACAGCCAGGACCTGGACCGGCTCAGCTTCCAGAGCAGCAAGATGAGCGACCTGTTCGCTCGCTTCCCAGAGAATCTCCTGCTGCACCGGGTGGAGAACGCCCAGGGCCACATCCTCTATGCTTTCCTGGTGGAGAACAAGGAACGAGAGGGGCGAGTGGTACACTTTGCCGTGCTCAAGGCTGAGACAGCCAGCTCCGTGGCCAAGATGCTAAGCATCTTCACAGAGTTCAACTCTGACTGGCCCAAGGTCAAGGTGGTCTTCGTGGACCCATCCTTCCCTCACCGAGCCATCCTGCAAGAGCTCTTCCCTGCTGCCCGCATCCTCCTCTCCATATACCACACCACCCGGCTCTTGGAGAAGAAGTTGCACCGTAGTTCAGCAAATGCTTCCTTTAAAAGGCTCATGAAGGAAGCCCTGCGGGAGGCCGTGTTTGTCACCTCCGAGGCCAGCCTGCAGAACCTCTCTCACATGTCCCAAGCCCTGCTGGATGAGGAGCTCTTCGGCTTCCTGCAGGCCCACTGGTTCTCCTGTGAACTGCTCTGGTACATGCACGTCAGGAAGGGCCTGCACGCATGTAACACCTACATGGACAGCCTCGACGTCGTCACCAGCAAGGTGTCAAGCCTGTTTCGGGAACAACAGTCCCTGCTTGACTGCATCCTGCACTTTGTGGATTACATGGACTTCTTTAACACCAAAGGCTTGAAAAACCTGCCCACGGCCCCTCCCAAGCTAAAGAGGGCCCGGCCACCAGGGGGTATGTCACCAAAGTCCAGGAAGACTTTGGGAACCTGTGAAGGGACCTTTACTAGGCCTTCCTGGCTCCCTGTGGTAGAGACAAAGCTAGACCCACAGCAGCGGCAGGTCCAGTGTTCCCAGGGTGGCATGCTAGATGCTTTGCACCAGAGTGGCTCCGAGCTGGCCTATAAGCTGTGCCACAGTGAGTGGGAGGTGGTGCAGAACTCCACCCACCTGGTGAATGTGGTTGGCTCCTCCGTGGACATTCAGCTGCTCGAGAACTCCCACCAGGCCAGCAAAGACGGCTGCAGCTGCAGCTGTTCCTTTCAACAGCGGTACCACCTGCCGTGCCGGCACATTTTGGCCCTGCTGCACACCGGCCAGCAGCCTGTGAGTGAAGCCATGGTGTGCCACAGGTGGCAGAAGAGGTACCAGCACCTCCTTGGGCCCGGTGGAGAGTTCCAGGACCCAGTTCTGGTCCCAAACACAGGCCAGCTCGAGAAGCAAGGACGGAACGACCTGATCCAGGACCTTAGCAGGGAGCTGGCCAACCTGCTAATGCAGAGTGAAGGGCCCGAGCTGGAGGAGCGCTGCTCCACCCTGCGCAAGATAGCCGACAGCTGGGCCGACCCCGGCCAGCCGCCCAAGCCCGGTCAGCAGCCTGGGGACTTCAAGGATGTGGGCCACCTCCCTTTCCTCTGGGGAAAGCAGGAGGAAGGGGAGGGGCTCCCTCCTGCTGAAGCCACGATTCATGATTGAAGCACTGCACTGAGCACTGCCCCCCAAAACCCCTCTTTCTGGAAGCCAGAGGGCGCAAAGTGACAGGATCCGTCGGGGTAATCCATGTCTTCCTATGTAGGACTAGGAGGAGGCTTACAGTAGGGAAGAGAGGAGCCCCACTGTGTGTGGCAGCCTTTTGGATCTGCCCCTTTGCTGCCCTACCTTGACATCCCTCAAGAGCCTCATTCCTTGTTCAAGGCCAAAGTTATCACCATACTGAAAGGTCACACCCTTTCCTTCCTCCTGTCCCTGAGATCAGTCGTATCCACTCTACAGAGATAACCCCCTGCCCCAGCATAGAGTGAGGCAAAGGGCTGGTTTCAGGGACAGAGGGAGGGAGGGTCACCCTTGACTCTTGCTGCTCTTCATGAAGAATCTGTCCTTTACACTTATTTTTATTCATATTAAATAAAGGTGTGTGTGTGTGTTTGTTTTAATAAAATTGCATAAGCAGGGGAAATGTGTTCTACTTGAAGAGGGAAGGAGGGGGAGTCGCGTCCAGGCCTAGTGGGAGGACTCCCGGCTTCACTCTCAGGAAGTGGCTGCTCTGGGGTAGATGCGTTCATTTTAAAGGAAACTGAGTGTTGTCAATCTACTGGGCTTATGGAAGGAACTAGAACCTGATGCCTCCAATGCAAACACTCCACAGCTTCACCTTCTCCCTGCCAACCAAGGCTTCCGATTCCAGGCTACCCCTACCCCACGTGCTCGCTGTCGGGTGCCGTCAAGCCCGTTCTGACTCACAGCAACCCCATGAGTACACAGAATGCAACCCTGCTTGGTCCTGTGCTATCCTCACAACCGTTAACGTCCGGGTTCCACTGTTGCAGCCAGTGTGTCAGTCATCTCATTGAGGGTCTTCCGTTTTTCACGGACCCTCTACTTTACCACCTTCTGTGGGGATTGGTCCCTCCTGATAACATATCCAAAGTATGTAAGACAGAGGCTTACCACTTCCTTCCTTCCAAGGAGCATTGTGTCTGATTCGACAGATGTGTTCATTCTTCTGGCAGTCCATAGTATATCCTGTATTCTGCACCAACAGCGTAATTCAAAGACAACAATTCTTCTTTAGTCTTCCTTATTCCTTGTCCGGCTTTCACAGGCATACAAGGCAATTAAAAATATCATGGCTTGGGTCAGGCACACTTTTAGTCTTCAAAGTGACATCTTAGCTTTTGAACGTGTTAAAGAGGTCTTTTGTCGCAGATTTGTCCAATGCAATACGTTGTTTGCTGCTTCCATGGGTGTTGATTGTGGCTCCAAGTAAAATGAAGTCTGTGACAACTTCTGTCTTTTCTGTTTGTCACAATGGTGCTTATTGGTCCAGTTGTGAGGATTTTTGTTTTCTTTACGTTGAGGTTTAATCCACTCATAAGTCATCAATAAGTGCTTCAAGTCCTCCTCACTTTCAGCAACAAGGTTGTGTCATCTGCATATTGCAGGCTGTTCATTAGTCTTATGCTAGGAGGAGGAGCCAAACAGACTGAGGGACCAACCCCCTGCCATCAAGTGGATTCCGACTCATAGTGACCCTTTAGGACAGAGTAGAACTGCCCCATAGGATTTCCAAGTCCACTGCATCATCTTTCTCCCACAGAGTAGCTGGTGGGTTCAAACCACTGACCTCTTGGTTAGCAACCACAGCACCACCAAAGCTCCTTAGACTGAGGGAAGAAGACTTGAGTGTCAGCATCTTGCTGGGTCACAGTTTCTTTGGCCCCAGTTTCCTCATCTGTAAAAATTAGCACGTTGGCCTGGTCTAATTCTAACCACCACCACCCCACCCCACCCCTGATTTATATCAACAGAGCATTTCCCTTGCATTAATAAGCACAAACACTGGCTTTTGTGTTGTGCTCCTTTGCAATATTAATTGCCTAATGCCTGGTAGCCATCCAGCTTTCCAAGATTATGGGAGGGCCAGATTGACATCTAAGGAGCTTCGGTGGTACAGTGGTTAAGGCATTCTGCTGCGAACCAAAGGTTGAGGTTTCAAACCCACTGGCCACTCCACAGGAGACAGACTTACAGACTTAGGAACCCTTTGGGGCAGTTCTCCACCATCCTATAGGGTCGGTATGAGTAGGAATCCACTCGCTGGTGGTGGGTTGGTTGTTTTGATTTAGATTGACATCTTCAGGGAATTGAGTCCGACGTGGCAGCCAGTTTCGGTCCTATCACCAATTTGCTATGACCTGCAACAAGCCACAGCACTGCTCTGGACCTGTTTCTTCTACAAAATACTGGAGTGGGTTGGGCTGCACACCACCATGATTCAAGACCTTCAAGAGCATCTGAATTTCCCCAACTCTAGAGAGTGGGGACCCTGAGCCGAGGGAGAGGCAGAATTTGAGACCTGGGCCTCACTTTCCCCATGAAGTGGAAAAACCCTTTCCTACCCGCCCCCCGAGGCGTTGGGGTTTGAATAAAAAGATTTCAATAAAACGTTGCTTTTTATTTTCCTTTTCATTTTCGGCCTTCGAGGGAGTTTCCCTTCCTCGCCCTCCCTTTCAGTCTGTCTAAACGCGAGCCTCCGGGATTCCAGCCTCAGGACGCTAAACGCTTGAGGCAAGTGTCCTTAGGCTCTCATTGGTTATCACCAACCGAGCCCCTCGTAACCCTGGTAACAGTTCCCGCCCACGAAAACAGGGCAACGATTGGCCCGTGGCCCCAAAGACCAAAAGAGAACTCCTCAGGTCATTGGTCCGAGTCACTGCGAAGCCGGTGTCGCGGTTGGTGAGCCGAGAGGTCAGTCAGAGTCCTGGGCAGGCTCAAATTGGGAGCAATGGCGACGAAGCCAGAGTGTGGTGAGTGATTTTGGAAGGGATGGAGGTGTGAGACAGCAGATCACCGGGGTCAGCCATGACACAGCTCCCAAAGGGATGGGACGTTGACTTCTCATCTAGCACTGGCCTGACACCGGATGGGAACGTCAGACGTCCACATCCTGCCACCCGGGTTAGAGGTGAGAGGTCAAAGGGCGCGTCTTGACTCCTCCTCTGGTCTTTGGACCCCAGGTGCTGTGCAAAGCTGTCAGCCTCCCGAGCCAAAGACTCGGTTTCTAGCAGCTTACAGAGTGATGGGGGGCAAGTCATTTAACCTTTCTGAGCCTCAGTTTGTCATCTGTAAAATGGGGGTAGTAATCCGGTTTGCAGCCAAATAGAGGAACCGTTTGAATAAAAGCACTGCACTTAATAGTTCTCAGAGAGATGAGAGAGGCTATGGGCATTTATTTGGTAGCCCCATTTTATGATTGGCCTGATTGAAGCACAGAGAGGGTGGTCACTCACTTGGCCAAGATCACACAGCAAGTTTAGAGCAGGTGCAGTTATCTTCTATAGACCAGGACCAAGTAAGAGAATGGATGTCAAAAAGTCTTGTAACTATACAATGCTATACAAATATAAAATGCTATACATTTTTAAGGAGTTCTGGTAGCGTAGTGCCTAAGGCACTTGACTGCTAATCAGAAGACTGGCGGTTCAAACCCACCAGCCACTCCTGGGAAGGAAGGTTGGGCAATCTACTTCCATAGTGATACCGCCTCAGAAACCCAAGGAGGGGTCTCTATGAGTAGGGTCTGACTCGACCGCACATGACAACAACAACACACGTTTTTAATGCCACAAGCAGCTCTGGCCTTCATGCCCATTTAAATCCCTTGAGCTATGTCTTTTCATGGCTGGCTGCTTATCATTTTGGTCTCAGCCCCCTTCTCCCCTAGAGATGCCCTCCCTGATCACCTTAGCTGATGTCTCCCTGCCTCTCCCAGCGTACTCTCTGGCCTGTTACTTAGTGTAATAACCTTCATCATCTGACGTATCTTTGTTTTGTGTACATGTTTATTGTGTATCTTTCCCCACAACAGTGCTGACACATAGTAAGTACTCAGTAAATATTGTCTGGATGAATCTTTGAAGTATCAGGTCCTGTCTGATCCTTTAAACCTCTTTTCCCTCCGTAGGCACATCTTTGGAACACGATCTTGACACTCCAGCCCAGGCCTAAGCTTAGTTGAAGCTTGAGAGACTCAGACTCTCCTGGACGGCACCCTCAGGGGGAGAAGAGCATTGTGACCTCATCAGTGAGACACCTCCCGTCTCCCTCATGGCCCTGCCCATGCTGAACGAGCTCCCAGTTAAGGACCCAAGCTCCCCCATGCTGCTGTACCAGCTTAGCAAGACCGCCCAGATAGAGACCCTCAACTACCAGAGCCGCTTTATGCAAGGTGTCTTTGCCCAGTTCCCTGAGGTCTTATTTATCCACCGGACCTATAACCCAGCAGGCAAGGTGTTATACACCTTCCTGGTGGACGGACCACAGGTGCGGCTGGGAGATCCCCTTGCCCGGGCAGTCTACTTCGCCATTCCTGCCAAGGAGGATGCTGAAGGCCTGGCCCAGATGTTCCAGGTGTTCAAGAAGTTTAACCCAGCGTGGGAGAGAGTCTGTACCATCCTGGTGGATCCCCACTTCCTCCCGCTGCCCACCCTGGCCATGGAGTTCCCTGCGGCCGAGGTCCTGCTCTCAGCCTTCCACATCTGTAAGTTCCTGCAGGGCAAGTTCTACCAGCTGTCCCTCGAGCGGCCAGTGGAGCGGCTGCTCCTGAGCTCCCTGCAGAGCACCATGTGCTCGGCCACCGCCGGCAACCTGAGGCAGCTGCACGCGCTCCTGAGCAGCTGCGTGTCCCCGGCCCAGCTGCCCGGGCTCCACTCCCACTGGCTGCTCAACGACCGCATCTGGCTGGCCCAGCGCTGGCGGAGCCGTGCCGAGAGCAGCCTCTACTTCCAGGGCCTGGAGGTCACCACCCACACCCTCAGCCAGTTCTTTGGCACCACCCCATGCGTGGAGCAAGGCATGGCCTCACTACTCCGATACATGCAGCAGAACTCGGGAGGCAGGGCCAGCCTCAGCCTGGGTCGGAGCCCCCAGGACAGTCTTGCCCCCTTGGACACCATCCCCGAAAGCCCCCACGTGCAGCTGGTGGAATCGCGCCTCCAGCACTCCCTCAGTGCCATCTGTGCGGAGCCGGCTGCGCAGCTCTGCCTGGGCGAGTTGGCCGTTGTCCAGAAGTCTGTGCAGCTCATTGGCTCGGGCTCAGAAAAGGTGAACATGCAGATCCTGGAGGACACCCACAGGGTGCAGCCCCAGCCCCCCGCCAGCTGTACCTGCTACTTCAGCCAGGCCTTCCGCCTGCCCTGCCGCCACATCCTCGCCCTGCTCAGCGCCCGCCACCAGGTGCTGCAGCCCGACATGCTGCCAGCCCAGTGGGAGGCAGGCCGCGCGGCCAGTCTCGAGGGCATCCTGGGCAGCCAGTGGAGCGAGACCCTGGAGAAGCGCCTGGCGGTGGCTTTCCTCACCGAGGAGGTGGGGCGGCTCCTGCAGCACTGCGGCCAGGAGGAGTTTGAGCGGCGGTACGGCACCCTGCGCGAGCTCGCCGACAGCTGGATCGGCCCTTACGAGCAGGTCCAGCTCTGATCGTTCTCAGTGCCCAGACACGTTCACGCACGCGTGCACACGCATGTCCTCCACTGCACACACGCTTCCTCATGTTTCCCCGGCTGTATTTCTGTGAGCCCTCCTCCAGGAGAGGAAGGACAAGGCCCTCCTGCTCTGCAGCTGGCTGTCTCCCACCCGTTCAGAAGGTCAAAACCGTTCCTCACTGGAGGGCCTTAAACGCAGACAACCTCTGCACTAAGCTAAGAGCTAGGACACTGGTGGTGCGTTTGAGGGGTGGGCTTGGTTACAACTTCCGGGTCATGAGGTGACTCACCTGACCCATCTTCTGGGATGGAATGGGCCCAGAAGCCTTTTCTCGGAGGAAGACGCCACTCAGGAGGTGGCCAGCCAGGCTCCCAGTATTCCCCTCCCTTCCCCAGCTTGGGGTCATTAAAGTTGGATCTGCCCCTTCCAGCTCGTGTGGTTTCGTTTTTTTTGTATGGGAATTATCCTGGAAAGAATATAGTCTTAGGACTCAGATACGACGTGCAAATCCTGGTTCTTCCCCTGCCTGATTTTCAAGTCCTAGTTCAGTCTTTTACTACCTAAGGGACTTCAAGTCACCTCTTTAAGACTCAGTTTGTTTATCTGTAAAACAGGGGTTCTCCACAGGGTTGTCAGGATCAAAGGACAGTGGGCCTGACACCAGGGGAGAGGGGAGACGGGTGGCTCAGGTAAATGCTCATTTCCTTCCTTGCCTGCAGTCCCCTCGTCAGTACTCAGTAGGCTGGGGAGTGTACGCAAGAGGGAAATTCACATTGCCTAGTTCAGGACTTTGAACGAGATGTTCTAATTGCGTCTCCAAGACAATATAAAAGTCTCCACTCTCCAGGCAAGGCCTCCTGGACCTCAGGTGATTTTACTTAGAACTATTCCGCCCAGACCTATCTCCTGGCCTAGCGATAGCTGCAGATAATCGGCAGATCTGGAGTGTAGGCCCTCACAAAGGACTGGTGTTGGACGAGAGTGGCTCCAACCACCACCCTGTCCCCATCCCTGCCACAGGCCCCCCAGAAACCATACGGAGAAGCCACCCTACGTGTCTGGTGCTATTTCATCCAGCTACAAGCCAGAGCCAGGAGGTGGGCCCCTCCTGGGTCTCACTAGGGGCACCTGCCCAGAGGCTGGGTGGGCGGGCGCCTGCTCCCACCACATCCCTTGCACAGCTCCCTCTGGCTCTGGATGGGCCGTCATGAAAGCTTGAGCTGCCCGGATCAGGTCCTCTTCCCGCAGGCCTGGGACGGGCACGGTGGGGATGCCAGCGATCATCATGGCCAAGGTTAGGATGCAGATGTTGGACTGTGAGCTGGCCTCCTGCCCCCCTGCCTCAGAGGGCACCTGCAGAACCCCTGGTGACATCCTGCACAGCAGCAGGGGCCTGGGCCGGCTGAGGCCACCCAGCTGGGGCAGTTGGCCTCTGGAGCAGCCATCCTCCCAGCCCAACCTCTCTGGCTGCCTCACAGCGGGGAGTTTGTGGCAGTATGGGCCATACTCCTTCCGCCGCAGTGGCTCCCAGCTAGCCCTCCCAGGGCAGCCCCTGGCTTCTGGCACGGCCAGGGCTGGGCCCCAGGCCTGGGCAGCAGGTGCCAGCTGCTCACCTTTCTGGCTCAGTGGGCTTAACCCACCAGGGGCTACCACCACTGGCTCTGCAGGGCTATAGAGGCCAAAGGATGAGCCCGGAGAAGCAGCCCCACCTGCAGAAGAACAAGATGGAATGTTACTCTTGGTCTCCTTGAGGAGGCCCTGAGGGGCAGGGCATAGGGTTGGAGGAGCAGGAGCAGCTCAGGGCTGCCTTGACATTGGGGACTAAGTGTTCTCCATTCCCCCAGTGCCAGCACTGAGGAGGTGATGGAGAAGTGCTTCTTGAATGAATGAGCAAGTGGGCAGTTACAGGCAAGGACTTTTGGAAAGGCTTTTCTTGTCAGAGACTGGCTCCAGGGCCAGCCCAAAGGTGCCCAGCAGAACCTCCACCTCCCCAAGCCAGAAAGCAGCTTCTCGGGGGGGAAGGTGTACCCTCTCCAGTTTCGGGAGCCCCCTCTCACCTTGGCCAGAAGGCAGAAGACCCAGATGAGTTTGTGGAGACATGAAATAAGACATAGCCACCCCAAGGGCCCTGGTTATGAGGCAACAGTCATCTGCCTCTTGTCCTACCCTCTCCACTCTTCTAGAACTTCACCTCATAGTCCCTCCCCTTTACACCAGGAACCTACCTCACAGCGCTGAGGTGATCATTCTAGAACCCGTCTATGACAATGGGATGGGGTTAAAAGAGCACTAGACCAGGACCTGGGTGTTCTAGGTCGTTGCCCTGTCCTTCGCCAGTCACTCGGGCACATCCATCTGTAAAGTGCAGGTGGTGACTCTACCCACTGCCTCACCAGGAGTTGGGAGGATTAAATGACATCACTGGTAGGGAAGCAAATGAACCGAGATACTAATAAAGGGGGCTAGTCCTTTGTTTCCTGTAGTGTGAGCGGAGCAGCATGCTGTAGCTCTGCCTGCATGCATTTGCTGTGTGACCTTGGGCAAATGTATGCCCAACGCTGAGCCTCTGTTTCCCATCTGCAAAATAAACAGTTGGTCCAGTGCACTGGTACTCAGCTTTCCAAAATTCTGATGCCCAATCTCACCCCAGACCTCAGAATCCCAGGGTCGGACCCAGGTGAAGACCTCTGTTCTAAGAAAATGCTTCTCCACCATGGCTGTATATTAGAAACACCAGTGGAGCTTTAGAAAATAAATAAATAAAAGTCTAGGCCTACTCCCCCAACAAATTGCATGAGAATCTCTGGAAATGGGGCCCAGGGCATCAACACTCTTTTAAGTATCCAAGTGACTCTAGTGAGTAGCCCAGCTAAGAACCACTGGACTCCATGACCTCTAAAATGTTCTCTTTGACCTACTGACCAGCAGTGACCCTAAAGGAAGTGCCCCTCACCGGCTGTAGAGGGAAGGAGACTTCCAATGGCCAGAGTGTCAGCACCGGCTGTGTTTATTTCCAGCCCAGCTCAGGGGCCTGCATATACTCCGTGGCCTTGGCCCTCGTGGCAGCAGGTCTTCACTCATACTTGCAGAAGTCCTTCAGTCCTTTGGGCAGTTGGAGCCCATCGATGGCCAGCCTGTGCACCACGCTCCTCTGGATCACGAGGCGGCACAGAGTCTGCAGGGACGGCACTGAGGAGAGAAGAGGAACAAACTGGAGGGTGGGTCTGAGGCTGAGCCCCCGAAGGGCTAGGTCTTGGCCTCAACTTCACTGTTAACTTGGACAAGTCCAGTCTGCTCCCCAGGTCCAGGCAGCTTCATGGGCTATTAACATGGCTGAGATAAGCCCCTTATCTACGAACTCTGCACGGGGTTCTGTTACAACACTCAGCGCCCTGTCTGCACCTCAACCAAGCCACTTCCAGAGGTCCCGTCTGAGTGACCTCTGTAGCCCCAGCCTCCAGCACTGGCCCCACGCAGAGTGGGTTCAAGTTCACTGCTTTCAGGCCATGAGATCAGAGGCCTAACTTAAGACTTCAGAAGACTGCAGTGCACCAGACCTCGAGATGATGAAGCTCTCAGCCTGGGATCTGAGAAGCCTCTATGCTGGTCTGCCCACATCTCTGAAGCATTTCTCAGATAAAAGAACACAGGATTCTCAAAGAGGCCCAGGATCTGAAATCCACCCCAAAGCCTTGCCACAGGGTAATGCAGATTGTCAAAGCCAGAAGGCAATTTGCAGGCCATCCTATCAACCAACCACAGACAAGATGGGTGAGCAGAGGCCCCAAGCAAAGGAGTGACTTGTCCAAGACCACAAGCAGAGGCAGAATTTGAAGCCAGGTTCTGCAACTTCTAAACTAATGTTGGATCAAGGCCAAGCTAGCTCACTAGGAGGAAGCTCTGGTGGCACAGGGGTTAAAGCATTCCACTCCTAACCAAAAGGTTGTTGCTGCCTGGAGAAGGATGAGGCAGTCTGCTTGCTGTAAAGATTTACAGCCTTGGAAATGCTATAGGGCAATCCTACTCTGTCCTGTAGGGTCACTATGAATCAGAATCCACTTGATGGCAGTTGAGTTGGTTTGGTTTAGCTGACTATGGAATCCTGGCAGGTTCCTGCCTCCACACTGGGCTGGGAGGGGTCGCTGCCCAAGGGACAGGATACCTACAGCCATACTCGACCTGGACCAGGCGAACGCTCTTGGTAGAGGCGAACACGTCCACCACTGCGTAGAGGGGCTGATTGGCTGGCAACCCCCGGGCGCTGGGGCCCATGTCTTCGCCATTAATGACGAGGTGCATGTCGGCGGTGCCATCAGGGCGCGGGCAGAACAGGACACCCACGCGGCTGCGGCGCGCGGTCGGGGGTAGCACGTTTAGCTCATAGAGCTGGTCCAATAGGTGACTGTGGAGCCCGGGCAGGCTGCGGCCCACCAGGCGGTCCCGGGGAATGCGGAACTGCTCAATGCACAGATAGGGTTCCTCCAGGAGGGGCGGGGGTCGTCTGGGCAACTCCGCCTCCGGATGGCCCTCGGGGGTCACGCGATTGTGATGGCGCGTGATGGCGAAGACCCAGGTGTGGCCGAGGCTGACCAGGTCGGGCAGCGAGAACTCGGGCACCGCAGGCAGGCTGGCAGGGTCGAGCGCAGTCAGGCCGAGGCGCAGGTGCCCGCACCAGCCCAGCTCTTTCTCCTCGATCTCCACCAGGAACACTTGGCCCGGGGCCAGCGGCTCACGACTAAAGCACACGCCGTGGGCGAAGCTCTCTACGCGGGTGGCCCGCGTCCCGGAAGGGTCCATGCGGATGTGGGCACCGTGCACCCGGTGGAAGCGAGTGGGCGCGGGCTCAGGGCGCCCGGGTGCCCAGGACGCACGCAACTGCACGGCGTCGGAGGCAGCAGCCATCTCTCAGGCTGTAGGCGGGCCAGCGTGCGCTGGGGGCTATTTTGGGCGGCAGGCTCAGCTGGTGACCGCAGGGGCACCTTGTAAGGTACTTCCCCCCGACTCCCGTCCCCCGGGGATCCTAGCGCCGCTGGCTCAGCCATGTGGCCTAGAACGGGGCTCCAGCGAGGCTGGGGGAACCTGGCGGTCCACACCCAGGTCATGTGATTGCCCGGAGTACGACCTGCGAAGCCCGCTGATCCAGACCGGGTGTGGACCGCTTCCACCACCACCCTCTCAGGCCAGCGAGGTCTAAAGGACTGGGGAAGGCTATCATGTGACATCCGAGCTCACGTGACTCGGAGTACACAAGACTTCCCATCGCCGGGCGCCTCCTGGAGAGCAAAGACGCGGGGAAGCAGAGGTGAGGGGACTCCAGAGGCTGAAGGGGATCCCCGTCTGTCCTTACGCAGCAGAGAAGGCTCGTCGGGTGGGGAGCTGGGGCTGGGACCAAGGCTTCGGATGCCCAGGCGGCGTCGCCAGCTCCTCCCAGGGCATTTGCACTGAAGCGTGGAGAAGCCAGCGAGTCAACTACAGTGAGCGCCCGCTCCTTCCTCCCACAGATGTTCAAAGCCGCGCTCTCCCTGCCGCCCCTGCTGCTGCTGCTCTTGTCCCGGGCGCCCGGAAACGAGGCAGCTCCCTCGCAGGACGAGATCCAGTGCCTCCCCGGGCTGGCCAAGCAGCCGAGTTTCCGCCAGTACTCCGGCTACCTCCGCGGCTCCGGCTCCAAGCATCTGCACTACTGGTCCGCGGCCCTGCCTCCCCCGGAGGGTTTGGGGAGGGGCGCTGAGATGTCCCAACGAGGGGGTAGACGGGTAGGGGGTGGTTCTGAAAACCTGTGGGAGCCGGGAGAGCTCAGTCCTCCCTCCCCCTGCAGTAACCCTGCCCTGACCCCTTCCCAGGTTTGTAGAGGCCCAGAAGGATCCGCAGAGCAGCCCTGTGGTGCTGTGGCTCAACGGGGGTCCAGGCTGCAGCTCCCTGGATGGGCTCCTCACAGAGCACGGCCCCTTCCGGGTGAGTGGAAAGCGGCCCCCTCCCCCAGTAACCCGGGAAAGGGAGAGGGCGGGGCGTGCCGGAGTGGGGGAGAGCTTGCAAAGGGCTTTGCGATTTTCCCCAAATTTTCCCTTCTTCCTTAGCCTCCGCTTCTTCATCCTTACAATTGGTTTGTGCGGTCAGAGTTTCTACCCTCAAGTAAAGTGCCTGTCTAGCACGGGGCCCCTTCCCTCCACCCTGGTCCCTTGAGAGTTACTCAGCCATCTCTTTTCCTTCTCAGGTCCAGCCGGATGGCACCACCCTGGAATCCAACCCCTATTCTTGGAACCTGGTACAGCCTGGCTGTGGATCCTGTGGGGGACGGGAGGGGGGGGTCTGGGGACTTGGATGGGAGGGGGAGCATCTCCATCCGGTTTCCTCCTCCCCTCTAGATTGCCAACGTGTTGTACCTCGAGTCCCCAGCTGGGGTGGGGTTCTCCTACTCTGATGACAAGTATTATGTGACCAACGACACTGAAGTGAGTCTGGTACCCACCACCTGCCCCAGCCTTCTTGGCTCTCAGATGGTGTGATGGGGAAGACAGCATGTTCCTGGAGTCCATTTTTGGCTCTACCATAAGCTACTGGTGTGGTTTGGGCTAAGTCACTTCCTCTTTCACAAACAGGGTTGGTTGATCTCATGTTCTCTGAAGTTCTTTCCAGTTCAAATACCAGCCCCTCCATCTTGCCTTCCCCAGGTCGCCCAGAGCAATTATGAGGCCCTTAAAGATTTCTTCCGCCTTTTTCCGGAGTACAAGGACAATGAGTTTTTCCTGACAGGAGAGAGCTATGCTGGCATCTACATCCCCACCCTGGCAGTGCTGGTTATGCAGGACCCCAGCATCAACCTGCAGGTGCGAGACAGATGTGGAAGGGGAGAAAGGCAGCTGAGGTCCTAGCTTCACAATTAGCAAGGTCAAGAAGGTCAAACCCGTCTCCCCATCCAACCCAGTCTCCTTCATAACCTCCCCGCTGCTAGCTGACCTGTCTCTGCTTGCATGCCTCCCACAATAGGAAGCTGACTGCTACCTGTAAGGCCCAAAGTTCTGTTCTTTACATTGAGTGACCTTACCCACCCCAACAAACCGCCCTGGGTCTCAGCTTCCAGATTGCTGAAGGGCTGGGTGTTAATCAAGGAGGTTCCTTTTCCTCCTCACCCGCCAGATGAGCTGAACGTCCTTGGGTGTTTCACAGGGGCTGGCTGTAGGCAATGGACTCTCCTCCTATGAACAGAATGACAACTCCCTGGTCTATTTCGCCTACTACCATGGTCTCCTGGGGAACAGGTATGGGAGAGGGGCAGTTGGGCAATCTCCAGGGTGGGGCCGGTCATGAGCTCTCAGGTCTGATCTTGAGATGCATGGTATCCCAGAACTTTGCCCTGGTTTATGAGCAGAAACTGGGGATTGGGGTTGCTGGAAGGGTTTGGTGCAGAAAGACCAATGACTAGAGGTCAGAATTTAAGGGGGCTACCGAGGGCTGATGTGGGAGAAGGATGAGGTAGTCTATTTCTGTCAAGATTCACAGCCTTAAAGACCTTATGGGGCAGTTCTACTCTGTCTTATAGGATGGCTGTGAGTTGGAATCAACTCAGTGGCAGTGGGCTTGCTTTGGTAAGGAGAGCTGAATTGAAGGAGCCCTGGTGGAGCGGTGGTTAAGCAGCTGAGCGCTGCACGGGAGGAAGATGTGACTGTCTACTGCAAAGATTACAGCCTTGAGGCAGTTCTGCTCGGTCCTATAGGGTCCCTATGAGTCAGAATCCATTCAACAACAATGGGTTTGATTGTGGTTTGGAAGGAGGGCTGGCTGATGTGGTCAAGGGGCAGCTCCTTGGGACCTAAGTTTGGTGCCCTACATCCCACCCCCTGTAATGCAGTCCCGGTCCCCTGGGATCAGGTCCTGACTGAGGTTGGAGGGACAAGCTGGGATGTTCACCTCTGGGGTTCACTGGGGGCCTAAGCACTTGTCACTCTGGTTTCCAACAGGCTTTGGTCTTCCCTCCAGACTCATTGCTGCTCTCAAAACAAGTGCAACTTCTATGACAACAAAGACCCAGAATGCGTGACCTATGTGAGTTTCTGCGTCAGCCCTACCACCCCTCATCCTCGGCATGGGACCCCATACTCTTTGAGGACTTCCTGTCCCCATCCTCCATTGCTTTCCTGTTCTGCCCCTTTCAGCCACCAGGGCTCTCGGGCACGTGATGTGTGTGGGTGTGTGCCCACCAGCACTGCTGTGACTTTGGGGCCAAATCCTGTAGCCCCTGTAAGGGAAAAAAACTAAAAAAAAACCCAAACTCACTGCCATCAAAATCAGTTAGACTCATAATGACCCCTCCTTGGGTTTCTGAGGTGGTATCTCTAGGGAAGTAGATTACCCAACCTTCATTCCAAGGAGTGGCTGGTGGGTTTGAATTGCTAGCCTTCTGGTTAGTAGTCACATGCCTTAGGCACTACGCCTAAAGGACATCTGTTATATGCCAGATGCTATGTTAAACGCTATCTATGTAGACTACAGGTGATCTTCAGCATTTTCCTTCAGGGACAGTCTTATTATCTAGCTTTCCAGATGAGGAAACTGAGGCTAAGAATGTTCAGTCAGTTGCTTCAAGTCCCAGTGCTAGGCAGAATGAGGCTGGGATTTGAACTGAGGCCTGGCACATCCCTTCCACTGAGCCTCAGTTTCCTTACCTATGAAAAAAGTAGTGGAAGGGGAATGACAATAGGTGAAGTATGAGAGTTGAGTCTTGAGGACAGGTTGGAGAGAGCATGGAGAAGCCAGGGACGGACAGCACGGCAGCCCTATGTATCGTTGCAGCTTAATGAAGTGTCCTGCATCGTGGGGAAGTCTGGTCTCAACATCTACAACCTGTACGCCCCCTGTGCTGGGGGGGTGCCCAGCCATGTCAGGTAGGCCCTGCCGGGTGCCTCGTGGGCCCACCTCAGCCACTCTAGAGACTCTGGTACCCATGTCCCCACCTCCCCTGCAGGTATGAGAAGAACACAGTTGTGGTCCACGATCTGGGCAACATCTTCACTCGCTTGCCACTCAAGCGGACGTGGCACCAGGTGGGCAAAGCCATGTGCTTCTTCCCAAGGTGGGATGAGGGGCAGGGTGGGGCAGGGGAGCAAAGGCTCTGACCCTCCATCTACGCCTCCAGGCACTGCTGCGTTCTGGGGATAAGGTACGCATGGACCCTCCCTGTACCAACAGCACAGCTCTCTCCACCTACCTCAACGACCCTTACGTGCGGAAGGCCCTGCACATCCCCCAGCAGCTGCCCCAATGGGACATGTGCAAGTGAGACTCAGGGCTGCTGTGGCCTGGGGTGGGGGTGGGGCTCATGAGCATCAGAAGACTTCCAGGGATCCTCTGGCAAGTGTTTCCCATAGGAGCTCAGTGGGCATCAGGGCCCAGAAATTAGTTGTTGTACAGGATGATAAACATCCCCAGCCCCTGACTTGATTGCTATTCAGCTGGTTTGTTCTGAAATGACCGTATCAGTTACTCAAATACTGATTCCTTCTGTAGTATTTAGTCAACAGACACTGTGCCAAGCCTCCCTTATTCCCACTGCAACACCATCTCCAAGTACCCAGATCGCTTTTGAGCCAGCAAGCAAAGGGGAGACACCTGGCATAACAGAGGCCACTCTACTCAGTGCCCAAGCACTGCTGGGCTGTGACTCTCACACCTGCTGGCCCCTAGGCACAAAATGCCAGTTGCTTCCCCAGTTATTGTGACAACCAAAAAGTGTCTCTATGCATTTCTAGAGGGGGATGGGTTGGTTGTCCAGCCCCCATCCAGGAGAGGTCACCTGCCTGAGAGGGGGACTGAAACCCAGCTGCCTGCCTCTTGTGCTGGAGCTTGGGCTGGGAGAGGAGGTTCAGTCGGTTGACTGGTTTTTTTTTCCCCACCTGGTCTGCCTGGGGCCCTGTCCACGTGCTCGCGGCAGCTTCCTGGTGAATTTGCAGTATCGCCGTATCTACCAAACCATGAACACCCAGTACCTCAAGCTGCTCGGCTCACAGGTGACTGGGGGCAGCACAGCTGGGTCCACCAGTAGCCAGCAGGATCCTGGAGCAGCAGGGCAAGGCAGGGGTCCCTTCACAGCTCCCTTCGGGCAGCTGGGGACACTGAGACCCTAAGAGGGGAAGTCATCTGCTCAAGGTCGTGCAGTTGGTGTTGTCAGGATTTGAACCTGGTCTGTTCTCTGGTGCTCTGCTGAAGAAGCCTAAAGGGTCTGCATCAGCCAAGGAGTCTTTAGAGTGAGGAGAGCCAGTGGCGTGTGTTACAAATGTGCAAATGGAGGGTCCAGGGTGTGAGAGGGCCTTGTCCAAGGTTACACAGGAGGCGTTAGCAGAGCCAGGTTAGACACTGGGTCTGTACATTAAGTATAGTTGCTAAGAGCTCTCGAGTCAGGTTGTCCAGGCACAAGTCCCTGTCCTAGCCGTGTGACCCTGGGCAAGTTTCTTAACGTCGAGCCTCAGTTTCACTATCTGTAAAATGGGGACACTAATGGTACTTCCCTTCATAGGTAACACATTTGTTGAGTGTTAGACAGGTAGTAGGAGATCAGAAACATGAGAATTTCCTGAGTCGTATGATTTAGCTGGGTCCCTTGAATCCCCTGAAGGGAAAGACTTCTGACTAGGGAAGGAGTGGGGTCTGGGCTTGGTCGAGAACCCCGTTCGTCCCTGTCCTGCTCCAGAAGTACCGAATCCTGATATACAATGGAGATGTGGACATGGCCTGCAATTTCATGGGGGACGAGTGGTTTGTGGATTCACTAAATCAGAAGGTAAGGCAGGAATTCCTGGTCCAGGGGGAAGGCTCAGGCTCGGGGTTGGGGTGGGGGTTGGGGGAGCCTGGGTGTGGCTAGTTGCTAGGCTCCAGCCAACCAGGGGCACCTGGAGAGCAGATCTGGCCTCTGAGGCTTCACAGGCAGCTGTGAGCAGGGAGAATGAGGCTGCTGCAGACTGCTCAGAGCTTTCCTGGGGGGCAGGTGGAGGTGCAGCGGCGCCCCTGGTTAGTGGGCTACGGGGAGAGCGGGGAGCAGGTCGCTGGCTTCGTGAAGGAGTTCTCCCACATCGCCTTCCTCACCATCAAGGTAGGACCTGGCCTGGCCAGGGCCAGCTTCAGGGAGAGGGCAGGTGCAGACCCTTCCCGTCCTTCCTTCCAGCCTCCTCCTACGGTGGGCTGGCATCTGGCCCCTGTAAGGACAAGCTGTTTCCGAAGAGTGGGAGGGATGGGGGGCTCAGGTACAGGGGTCTGGGGAAGGGTTGGGGGAGGAGAAGGCAGCTCAGTGGCCAGAGGGATCCAGTGGGAAGGAGGTGGCGGCCAGGGGCCAGGGGCTCCAAGGGCAGGGGTGGTAGGGCTCAGAATCTCCATAATGCTTTGCTCCTCAGGGTGCTGGACACATGGTCCCTACTGACAAGCCCCAGGCTGCCCTCACCATGTTCTCCCGCTTCCTGAAAAAACAGCCATACTGATGACCTCGGGGACCAGCCCCCGCTGCCTGATCCAGCCCACCCCTGGGAGAGAGGGGCTCCTTTATATGCACACACCCCTGCCCTGCCGGACAGTCCTTACCTCCAGAACCCACACTCCCTCCTTCCTTTCCCCCCACCGCATCTCCCCTCTCCCCCCCCCACCCCCCCCTCCTCTCTCTCTTTTCCCTCCCACCTCCCCTCTTCCCCCGCCTCCTTCCCAGGCCTTGAGCATCCCAGACAGCAGTGCCTCATATAGATGTCCTGGGGGAGTTAGCACTTTATTCCTGTAGCAGATCCTGACTGGGGACGGGGGGCCTGGCCCCCTTTCTCTGCCTGACAAATGCCTGGAATGCACTGATCCCACCCCCAGCAACCTCAGGAGGGCCCCCAGGGAGAGGGGTGGATGAACTGTAATTGGTGGTTCAGCTGTGATTATGGAATTAAATTGGAACAGCTTTAAACCCTATCTTCTCTATGACACTATGGGTGAAAAGGGTTACTACAGGCTATGTGGGTGTTGGGGTTGGGGGCAGAGGGAGGGGTGAGACGGGTCAGAGTTTTGAATGGCAGCTCCCAGGGTAAGGTCAGAGGGCTCAGGCAGCTACCGTGGAGAGTGGAGGGGTGCTGGGTGCCTGGGGGTCCCTGGCGTCAGTAGGCCGGTACTTCTCAATCACTTCACGCAACCCCTTGGCAAAGTGGAGGTCAGCCCCGATGGTGAGGAAGCCCTGTGCAGCAAGGCAGAGAGGGGATCTCATTCATTCATTCAGTTACTGAGCCCAGAGTTGTGGAGAGAAAGAGGTAGAGTCATTGGTCTGGGAGGTCCCCAATCTAGGAGGAGAGTGGAGCAGCACAGGGGTGTGTGAAGGTGCTGAGGAAGCACAGCCTGTGTGTGTGGGGGGTGGTCACAGAGGGCTTCCTGGAAGAGGTGACCTCTTAGCTAAATCTGAAAGCTCCGTAGGAGCTGGGAGTGGAATGAGGGAAGAGTGTACTAAGGAGAGGGTGTGGGCTGTGCAAAGGACTGGAGGTGGCTGGTGTAGGATTAAAATGGGGTGGGCAGGTGGGATGGGAGGAGTTAGGGTCAGGTTGGAGAGGGCAAGGGTCCCTGGGAGCTAGAGAGGGAGGGGCGGCTGTGCTCCTTCCCCCAGCCCTCACTCACCACGTGGTTCTTCACCACCTCGCGCACAAAGTCGATGCCCTCGGGCAGTGGGATCTGCACCCCTTTATTGGTCCGCTCTGTGGGTGACAGCAGTGGGCTCAGTCTCAGCGTCCCCAGCCCACTCTCCCTTTCTTAGCCCTCCTCACGCCCCAGCCCTACCATTGAGTATTGGCATCACCCCAATCTGCAGCATGGCCTTCAGGGGGGTCTGCAAAGGGATCAGCTGGAAGGGAAGAGGGGTGAAGTCAGGGTGCAGGGAGCAGGTGGCTGGCCTTAGCTGCCCACCCCTGCCTCCAACCCAGCCACCCTGCCATCCCCTACTCACTGCTAGTGACTCGAGTGCAGACTGGTTCGAATAGATTCGGAACCTGCAGAGAAAGAAGCACCCCTTCCTCAGGCCACCCAAGCCTACTCGTCACTGGCCTGAATGTTAGTCTGAGATGTCCCACCTATACACCTTTCCAGGTGGTTCCTTCCAGGTGTGTATCCTTGGGAAATCATTTCTCTCTCTTTTGGCCCCTGCCTTTTTAACTACCATTTATTTGTTGAGCACTTCCTATATGCCATACTTCTGTTGATAGCTTTGTGGGTTTTTTTTTGTTGTTGTTGTTGTTACCCAGCCAAACTCAGTGTCTACTCTCTCTGAGGTCCTAAACATGTTGTTGTTGTTATGTGCCATTGAGTTGTCTCCAACTCATAGCGACCCCTCCTTGGGTTTCCAAGGCCATATCACTATGGAAGTAGATTGCCCAATCTTCCTTCAAAGGAGTGGCTGGTGGGTTTGAACCACCAACTTTCTGGTTAGCAGTCAAGTGCCTTAGGCACTATGCCACCAGAGCTCCTACTAAGCATGTTACAAAAGTTAAATACTATTAAAATATGAAATATTTTAAAATATCAACTGATTGAATTCTCATAACAACTGTAAAAAGTATGTGCTATTATGATCTGTACTTTATAGGTTAAAAAAATGAAGCCCAGAGAGGTTAAATAATTTGCCTAAGGTCAAACAGCTCGTAAGTGGCAGAACCTGCTTCTAGAACCTAGGCTGCTCATCATGAACTTGCAGTGTTTCATTTAACTCCCTAGAGAAGTGCTGTCCAACAGAACTTTCCTTGAAATGTTCTGAAGCTGCATTATCCAATATGGTAATCACTGGGTGGTTCAAGGGAATTTTGGTGGTGTTAAGGCAAGGAGCTCTAGTAGCATAGTGGCTAAGACACTTGACTGCTAACCAGAAGGCTGGCGGTTCAAACCCACCAGCCACTCCTCGGAAGGAAGATGGGGGAATCTACTTCCGTAGTGATGCTGCCTCAGAAACCCAAGGAGGGGTCGCTATGAGTCGGGTCCGACTCGACGGCACATAACAACAACAGTAGTTAAGGTATTTGGCTGCTTACAAAAGGTCGGTAGTTCAAACCCACCACCCACCAGCTGCTCCGTGGAAGAAAGATGAGTCAGTCTGCTTCTGTAAAGATTTACAGATTTGGAAACTCAATGGGGTTTGCTGAGTTGGAATCGACTCCCATGGCAGTGAGTTTGGTTTGGTTTTTGAGGTGGTTCGAGTCCACCTAGAGGTACCTTAGAATGAAGGGCTAATGACCCGGGCCCTCTGGTGGCGTCGTGCCTAAGGCTTTTGACTGCTAACCAGAAGGCTGGCAGTTCAAATCCACCAGCCACTCCTTGGAAGGAAGATTGGGCAATCTACTTTCACAGAGATACGGCCTTGGAAACCCAAGGAGGGGTCGCTATGAGTTGAATCGACTTGACGTCAGTGTGTTTGGAGCCTAATGACCTACTTTTGAAAAATCAGCCATGTTTCCCTATGTAGCATGGTAGTTCCCTGAAAGTTGGAGTCTACTTGACAGATACTGATTTGGTTTGGTTTCTCACCACTGGTGGCTGTTAAGCATCTGAAGTGTGGCTAGTGCGATTGAGAACCAGTCAGTTATAAGGATGGGGAATGCTGATCCTATTGCACAGCACAGCCCTAGAAAGGAGATGCTGTTTGTACCCATATTTAACAGACAAAGAAAATGAGGCTTAGGAAGATCATGTGACTTGCCTCAAGGTTATTAGGCTACGAAGTTGTGCTGAGGTTTCTGCCAAAACCCAAGTTCTTACTGGGTTCTGGTTCCATCTGCATGGCTATGCGCCTGTCATTTAACCTCACTGAGACAGCTTGCTCATCTCAATACCTGTACTGCCTGCCTGCCAGGTATGAGAGAATGCACGCTTTAATATTAAAGCCACGCTTTCATAAAGCAGTTTATATGCAGTGAGATAGGAAGGCCAAGCTCTCCAGGGACATGTGAATACGGCTGCATTTTAGTCCCGTGGTTCTGTTGGGCAGGTAACTAGGCCACGGAGACGCAGAGAGGTCAGGGCCCTCCCAGGGTCTCTGGGCATCTCCATACTTGCGCAGATCTAGCTTCATGTGCAGTGCCTTCCCTTGGAATGCCATCTTGGCGCTGAGCCGGGCATCCTGTGGGGAGGTAGGGAAGGTGGTTACCGACTGGAGGGGGACACAGCCCACTTCACCCTGACCCTCAGCAGCCCCCACGCCAGCTGCCACACCATGGTCATGCTGGACAGCTGGACCTCAGGCTGGTCAGGTGGGACCAGGCTGATGGTGACGCTAGCAGTGACGGAGATGGTGGTGCCTGAGGGTTTGATGGTGCAGCGCGGCGGCTCCGTGACCCGAAGCTCCAGCTTAAGCGGAGAGTCGATCACCGCTGGGTTCTGGGAACAGAGCAGGTAGGGCGAGTCAGGGCCCAGACCTGTTTCCTCATGAGCCCCCTGGAGGAGGGGGTGACACAGCCTCTGCCGTCTGGGAGACAAAACCAAACAAACCCACTGCCATCATAGGGTTTCCAAGGCTGTAAACCTTTATGGAAGCAGAGTGCCTCAACTTTCTCCCAGGATGCAGCTAGTGGATTCGAACCACCTTGTTTTGGTTGGCAGCCGAGTGCTTTAACCACTGCACCACCAGGATGCGTCTCTGGGAGCCCAGAGTCTGACAAATGCACAGCCTGGTCTGGTTCCCAGAACCTTCCAGGTCTGCCTGCAGTCCCTGCGCCTTTGTCTGCCTGGTAGACCTTTGAGGCAGCGTCTCGTTCTTCTCTTTCTTTCCTCCATTCTCGCTGCTCAAGATTCATCTCTAACCCAGAAGAGCCTCAGGGCAGCCTCTTTGCATGAAATATCCCATAAATATGTCCATCTCCTTTTTTCTCAACTGCTGGGCTCTTTCTTCTACAGGCAGCGAAGGAATCCCAATAGCTAATATTGAGATTAAGTGAATTGTCCACAGCTGTGGTCATGTGATTATTAAGATGTGAGCTGGGATTCCAATCCAGGCAGTCTGGCAGCAGGGTCCATGCTCTTAACCATTTGGCCGTGAATATGATAATGATGGTGATGTTGTTATGTGCCATTGAGTTGGACCCAACTCATAGCGACCCCTCCTTGGGTTGCTGAGGCAGTATCACTACAGAAGTAGATTGCCCAACCTTTCTTCCGAGGAGTGGCTGGTGGGTTTGCCAGCCTTCTGGTTAGCAATCAAGTGCCTTAGGCACTATGCTACGAGAGCCCCTAATGATGATGATGAGGACAGTAGTAACAACAGCAGCTAGTGTTTACTGATGGAGTTCAAGTGGTACAGTGGTTAAGGCATTTGGCTGCTAACCAAACGGTCAGTGGTTGGAACCCACCAGCCACTCTGCAGGAGAAAGATGAGGCGGTCTGCTTCCGTGAAGATTTACAGCCTTGGAAACCCTACAGGGCAGTTCTACTTTGTCCTGTAGGGTCGTTGTGAGTCAGAATTGACTCAATGGCAGTGGATTTGAGTTTAGTGTTTGTTGAGCACTTATTCTGTTATCAGGTGCTGTTCTAATTCCTTGACAGGTATTGATTTGACCATCATCACAACTCTGTGGGGTTCTATAGTGTATGGGAGAGAGCATCTGTAATTTGAACCCAGGTTCAAATCTCAGCTCTATCATTTACAACATTGAATGCAGGGTCCATCCTTTCATGATAATTGAAATACTTATTTTTAAATGTTTAACTCCTATCCTTTTCACTACCTAAGGAAAATAAGCCAAAAGAATATATAGTCTTTACTAAAGCTCCTGGCAAAGCCTGGGTTCTCCCCACATCCTCACCATGACTCTGTGAGAGAGACAGGACAAGAAGGAGCAGTCCACCTAATAGACTTGGAAACAGCTCCGTAGTGAGGAGACTTGGCCACAGGCGAGAGGCCAGGTCTGTCTATCTGTGGCTACTGCTCGGGCCAGCGCCTGCACCCCTCCTCTGAGGTCTAGTTGGTACGCTCCCACTCTGGCCATGTCCCCCCCTCCGGCCAGTGCTCACCTGCAGGACAATGCTTCCAAAATAGGAGGCCCGCAGCAGGACGTCCAGATCTTGGGGCACCTGGACAGAGGGAATGGAGGTGAGACAGGCTCACCAGGACCTCTGTCCCTGGCCCTCTCTTGCCTGTCCCCTGCATGGGCCCTGGTGTACCTTGTTCCCCACCAGCGACAGCTGCAGGACCCCCGCCCGGAAGTAGCTCTCCATGGCAGAATCGAAGAAGAACTCTGAGAAGGCCACATACACCATCCGCTCCTCTTCCTGCAGCTGGGGCTCCACTGCCAGGTTGGGCAGGCTCCAGTTCGCCTCAGTCAAAGGGAAGAAGGCCCCCTAGGGTTGGAGGTCAGGGTCAAGGCTGACAGGCTCAGCACACAGACTGACCTGGTGTCTCCCAGCCCTGTCCCAGCTCCCGTGGGAGGCAGTGGGGAGCTGGACCCAGAGCTGCCCTAGAGGCCCTCACAAGCACATCTCTTACATGACATCAAAAGAAGGACCCTGGGGTACTGGAAGGGAGCAAGCCCATCCCACTGGGAAGGGGGGACCAGGGCAGATTTCACAGAAAAGGTGCCATTTGAGCAGATCTTGGCAGTTGGATGGCAACAGTAGTAATAGCTACTGTTTGTTGTTGCTGTTGGCTGGCACAGAGTTGGCCCCCAACTCATAGTGAGTCCGTGCATAACAGAACAAGACACTGCCCAGGCCCGCACCAGCCATGGATCAGACTGTGGTGACTCCCAGGGTTTTAGAAGTAGATTTTCAGGCCCTTCTTCCTAGTCTCTCTTAGTCTGGAAGTTCTGCTGAAACCAGTTCAGCATCAAAGCGACATGCATGCTTCCACTGGCAGATGGGTGTGGCCATGCATGAGGTGGACTGGCTGAGAATCGAACCCCCGTCTCCCATGTGGAAAGGCAAGAATTCCAGCCCTGATCCACCACTGGCCTCCTAGCTGCTGCTTACATAGTAATTATTATGTGCCAGGTATTGTTTAATCCCTTTACATGGATAATTCCTTTAATTCCTATAACAAATCTATGAGGGACGTGTTTTCTTATTGTATCATTTTCATTTACATATTAGGAAACAAAGGAGCCCCAATGGCGCGATGGTTAAGCACTTGCCTGCTAGTCAGAAGGTTGGTGGTTCGAACCCACCCAGCAGGAAGAAAGGCCTGGCAATCTGCTTCCATGAAAACTATGTCTAGAAAACCCTGTGGGGCTGTCACCTGAGGTCACTAAGTGTCAGAATTGACTTGCTAGCACCCATTGCAACCACCACCTTAGGAAACAGCCACAGAAAGGGTAAGCCAAGATTTGAACTTCTGCATCCTGGCTCCAGAACCTGTGCTCTGAAGTTGCTACATTCCACTGGGAGGAGCTAAGAGTAAGGAGCGTGGTTGTGACCAAGGCTGGCTGCATACTAGCTGTGTGACCTTGGGCAAGTGACTTCGCCTTTCTGAGCAAGTCTCACATCTCTGAATTGGGTATGATGTCAGTAGCTGACTCGGGGTTGTAAAAAGATGCAGTGAGATGATGTGCAGAGCTTATGTCTGACTGCTTCAGTGTAAATAGGGAAAGGCAGTAGGACCAGCAGGAGCAAAGGCCCTGAGGTTAGAAGCAAGGGGCACATTTGGGGAAAAGAGTAGCTGCAAAGAAACAGGGTAAAGTTAGAAAGGTCGGGCCACATAAGGTTGAGAAGGCTCGAATGCCAGACACAGGAGATTGAACCTAATTCTCTAGACAACGGGGAGCCATGGCACCCTAATGGAATGGCCTCATCTCAGAGTTGGGCTTCAGGAAGATAAAACCAGCAACTGAGGGGAAGAGGAAGTGAGAGGGAGTCTGATAAGCAGGGCAGCTCACCCGGAAGTCCATATCTAGATTGCTGGCAGTGGCTGCAGGATCCTTCAAGAGGGAGTAGTCAATGCCGACGAACTCGTCCACAGGGCTGCGCACTGTGGGACAAGCGCAAGTCACTCAAAGCCGTGTGATGTCAGGAGATGCTTTCGGTTCCTCATCCACAAAACAGGAAGATATCGTCCCTCACAGGGTTGTTATGAGGATCAAATTAGTTTCAGGTGTGAAGAGCTCAGTGCCTGGAGTTTACTAAGTGCTCGGTAATGTTCAACTCAACAGCCCAGCTCACTGCCATTGACTAGATTCTGACTCATAGCCACCCCCACTGGGTTTCCAAGGCTGTCAATCTTTATGGAAGCAGACCGTCTCATCTTTCTTCCACAGAGCGCCCGGTGGGTTTGAACCACTGACCTTTTGGTTAGCAGTCAAATGCCTTAACCACTGCCCCACCAGAGCTCTTTGCTCAATCATGTTAGCTGTCATTATTATTATTACAGAGGTTTCATCAAATCACTAAGAGAAAAATGACCAGGAATTCCCTTTTCTTGATTTCCCCTCCTCTTTCCCTTTACTGACTGTGTGGAGTGATAGCACAAGATCTCTGCCCCAAAACAGGCAGAGGTCACAGCTTAGAAGAAAGGAATTCACAATACTGAGCACCTAGTAAGTGCCAGGTGATGAATACGAAGGGTCCCCGATGGTCAGCAATAACATCCTGAAACATCTCACAGCAACCCCAGGAGGAAGACATTACCAACCAACTGAGGAGATCAAGCTCAGGGAGAAGGGAATATTTATTTACCTGAGGCCACACAAAGTTGGTGGAGAGGTCAGATTTGAACCCAGGGCTCTTCAACAGAAGGGACCCACTCTGAGGTGCTTCTGTGATAGCTGGACCCCAGCCTCTTCCCCACCCCTCCAGTCCAGGGCCTGGCCAGAGCTCCCAGCCCCCCAGCACCAACTCACCAGGCACGGTGTCCAGGAGGGAGTTGAGCAGCACCCTCCCTGCATAGTGGAGCACTGGGCAGATCTGGGAGGTGGGGCAGAGTCAGGGCCTTCTAGGTGAGGCCATGCCTGTCCCCGCTGCCCCCCGACCCTGCTGCTGCCCACACCTGCTGGTTGAGGAGGAAGCGCATCCCTGAGGTGATGAACGTGGAGAGTAAGTCATACACCTTCCTGTGGGGAGAGAAGATGCTAGATGAATCCAGACTCTGCCTCTATTTCAGGTCCAGGAGGAATCGCAGTACTAGAAATGTGGTGATGGTGGGGGGATGCCTTTGCTTTGACCTGAATTACCAGCTCCTTCATGGAAGTTTTTCAAGACCCAGGCCCACGTCTTTCCAAATTCATTCTCAAGACCTTCTCTGCTGCCCTTTGTCCCCCTCCAGCCAAAATGAATCCACCACACTTCCCCCATCCTGCTCTGAGCATCCTACCTCCATATTGCTGACTGATGCCCTCCCATTCACACTCAGTTCTCCCTGCCCTGTCCCAGCTCAGATGCTTCCTCCTCCAGACAGTCTTCCCAGATCACCCTCCCCTGAACCCCGAGTCCTGACTTGGTTCTTCTCTCAATGCTCTCATGACAAATGTGTTGTCCCTCCAGCAAGGCTCTGAGCTCCTTTTGAGATCCTTAGGGTTTGGCATACACTTTGCTGAATAAATAAAAAACTGACATCAGATGAAAAATCTACCATCTTCCAGGACCAGCACAAGGTCTGCTTCTCAGCCTACAACCCAGAACTATGTTACTATTTTTGTTATTATTAACAAAAAAAAAAACTCTGCCATCGAGTTGGATCCAACTCATAGCGACCCCTCCTGAGATTTCCGAGGTGGTATCACTATGGAAGTAGATTGCCCAACCTTCTTTCCGAGCAGTGGCTGGTGGGTTTGAACTGCCAGCCTTCTGGTTAGCAGTCAGATGCTTTAGGCACTACGTGACCCGAGCTCCCTTGTTACTATTAAGAGTTGCCAATTATTAAGAAACCCACTACCTGTCCAACTGTGTGCACTCTAACCCACATCACTAAGTGGTCAGCACTTAGATAAACATTTCTTACATGCCAGGTGCTGTACTAAATATTTTTGCATATATTAACTCACATTACCCACACAATATTATAAAATGGGTTCATTATCACCCCCATTTTACAGATGAGGAAATGAAGGCACAGCGCCTCAATGACTTGCCCAATGTCACACAGCCAGGAAGAGGTGAAGTCAGGACTTGGACCCAGTGGGTCTGACTCCCAAGCTGTGCACTTTGCATTGCACTAGGCATACGGGCTAAGGGGCTCTGAGGGGGTGTGTTGGGGTTGAGGATGGGGCTTACTTGAAGGTTCCCCCGAAGGCCACGTGTATTCTGGAGACAGAGGCCTGGCAGGAGATGTTGGACACCTTGATCTGGCCAGTGGGATCCCGGGAGAGCTGGAGAGCGGTGTGGATGGACATGCCCTCGGCTGAGGCATTGATGTAGCCCCCATCATAGCTGCCAATGGTGGGGGTGGGGGAAATGGTTACTGCTCACTCTAGCTGCAAACTTAACTGGGTCTTCACCGCCTCCCTCTCCACTCCTATCCATTTATGACAGTTCTCAATAAGGCAGCATTTCCTCACCATCTACCAGACATCCTACTTAACCCTCCTATGAACCCTTACAGAAGGAAAAACAGACTCAGAAAGGCTAAGTTCCCACAGCCCTCCTGACCCGCCCCCTCCCTGAGGTGCCAGGTCCTCACAAGAACCAGTAGAGCAGCTGTCTCCGGAAGCGCAGTCCCAAGGAGGCGTTGGTGATCTGTAACACCAGCTCCTGCTCTGGGTGGAACTGGAGCTCCGAGGAGGTCAGCTGCAGCTCCGTGACCTTCACCCTGCAGGGGCCCCTTAGAGTCAGACCTAGGACCAGGCCCCTCAAAGGGCCTTGAGACCAGGGCCTTCTCACATCTCCCAGTGCCAAGAAGAGGAGACCCACCCAGTGACTGGAAATTCATTCCCTCTTCTCCTAGTCCGGGAGCTCTGGTAGCATAGTGCCTAAGGCATTTGACTGCCAACCACAAGGCTGGCAGTTCAAGCCCACCAGCCACTCCTCAGAAAGAAGATGGGGCAATCTACTTCTGTAGTGATACCACCTCAGAAACCCAAGGAGGGGTCGCCAGGAGTTGGATCCGACTTGATGCCACTGAGTTTGGTTTTTGGCTTGGTCTGCTAGTACAAAGAAGCTCTGGTGGCTCAGTGCTGAGGCATCTCACAGCTAACCAGAAGGTTGGCAGTTGAAACCCACAAACCACTAAGACTGGGCGATCTACTTCCGTAAAGATTTACCACCTGGGAAACCCAATGGGGGTTGTTATGGTTTGGTTTTTTATTTTCTCCTAGTCCAAAGCCTGGAAAGTGGGGTTTGGCAGGATGAATTCCCTTGTCTGGCTCCTCACGTGTCCACCTTGGATTTGGGTGACACAGAGATTAACTTGTCCTGACCCAGGCGCTAAAGGTGAGCTTCACCCCATGTCTTACGAGTCTTGGTGGCACTCACTTCTCACCCACAGCCTGGGGTTGCTTGACTTGGTTTTTTAACTAGCTCCTTGACTTCACCTCCATCATCCAACCTCCACCCCTTCTCCCAAGTTCCCAGTTCCCCATTCCATCCTAAACCAAGGCTCTGGTCTTTATCTCTGGGCTGGACCCTGTCCAACCCAAGTCCAGTGCCCTAGACCCCTTTCCATTGGCCAAGTTCCTTGACTCCGCCTCAGTACCGTTGGTCCTGTTTATTCTTGTTGGGCCCATCTACACTTTCTTGACCACGCCGGCTGGTCAAGTGTCCTTGGTGTCCTTGGCCCCATCCTGTTTAAGTCCAGCTTCAGTGCATCAGTCACGCCCCCATTCCACTCAGAACAGGTCTTCCCAGTCAGCACATAGGTGTTTCCTACGCCCCACCCCCATGTCGCCTAGGCTCCGCCTTCACTTTCGGGGCCCCGCCCCGGGCCCCCGACTCACTCGGAGATGTTGTAGTAGAAGTGGCCTTCGCTGCCCCGCAGGTCCGGAATGGTGATGGTCTCCAGCTCTTGCTCCAGAAAGCGCAGCCCCTCCTGCTTCACTGAGGCAGCAGCGAGACCTTTAACGCCGGCGCCCCCTGCTGGGGAGACCCTAGCCCAGCCCGCCGCCGCTCGCCGCCGCGCCCTTACCCAGCTCCAGCGCCTTGGAGGTGATGCGGATCTTGCAGCCCGGGAGTTCCGCGTGAGCGCCTGCCAGCAGCGCTAGGAAGAGGGCCCCAAAAAGGGCCATGGCAAGCGGGCCTGGGGTGGGGGGTCGCGGGAGTCATCCGGGCCGCCAGAACCCACGCCTCGGGCATCCCACAAAGAAGGAGAAGGGGCTCCCCCTACCGAATCAGTACTCTGGAGATAGCTCTTCGGACAACTTGCAACCAGTAATACTGCCACCATTTGGCAGATGGGGAAGGGAGGCTCAGTGAGGGAAGCAAGCGGCTTGCTCTCGCTCTCAGAGGATTTCAGGCCGGGGGAGGAACATCTTCGGTCCCCTGGTGTGCAACTGCCGCGAGACCAATTTGGACCTCCCGGGGACCAGCCCTCCCCTGGACAGCCTCCCCTTTCCTTTTAGCCAAGGGCTGGCGCGGGCTTGCACGTTGTCATGGCAATGGCTGCACACGCATTCCTGGGGGGCTGCTCGCGGTCTCCCGGGGGCAGCGGAGGGGGCGGCCCGCGGGCCCCGGGGACGCCCGGTTCCGCCGGGTCCTAAACCCTGCCCTGCAAAATTCTGTCTGATAGCCCCCCAGCACAGCGCCCTCCTCCGGCGGTTCTCGTCCCCATCCGGGGTTCAGTACACAACGCGGCTTGCAGAGTCGGGGGTGGGGTGGGTAGGGACTCGCCTCAACTCACGCAGCGGGGGAGCTGGCGACCGAGCGTCACGTGGCCGGCGGGCAGCACTGGGATCCGGAGGCAGGGTCTGGCGGGCTGCGAGGTTCCAGCGCTTTTATAAAGCAGGGCCTCCCCGCCCCCCCTTTTCTGTCCCCTTCTCCCCTCCTCCCTCGGGGGCTGGGAGGGGACGGGGCGGGACGCGGGCAGCCAGGATGGTGGAAGGGCTGCACAGAGCGGACCCGTGACAAGCCCGGCCGCCGTCGAGACAAGTGGGGGACCCGGGCAGGGCAGGAGAGAAGGAAGAGCAGGACCCGCAAGCCCGCCCTAACGATCCCTGCTCCGCTGGGGCCTCGGTTCAAACCTCAGTCACCCATCTCTTCCTGCCTGGTCTTGAGCAAGTCACTTCAGTTTGGCCACTGAATCTCAGTTTCCTCCTCAAGCAATATGGGCCTGACAATAGGAATTGCCTCAAGGCAGTCAATGCCCAGGGCACGATTTTTCCGGCCCTGCCACCCCTAATCACGTCACGACCTCTCTTGTCAATCTTCTCTCGCTGGGGCCCCCAGCTGTCTGTGTTGCTTGCTTCCTGGGGACCTTAAGGGCCCAGAACCTCTCCCACTTGGATCCAAGTATGTGCTGTAATCCGGGAGGTGGAGACACTACCACCAGACTGCAGTCACTTCCGAGGCAGGTTTGGTGTTTCCTAGGGCCCGTGGATTTTCTTGTGCACCCTTGGAGCTGGCACAGTACCCTCCATCTATCGCCAACAGAATTTTCAGCTCCAAGAGCAGGGCAGAGTAGATGTTTCAATGTCAGATGGATAGAAGGAAAGGAGAAGCACTAATGGCCAATGCTCCTTAAGCATGGGTTGGGCACCAAGCTCTCATCCAGGAAGCTCTCATATCGTTCATAGGGTTACCTACTCCTCCTGGTTTGCCCAGCACTTTCTTGGTTTTGAAACTGAAAGTCTCCCTTCTTGGGAGCTCCATCAGTGTCAGACAAACCAAGACAGCTGGTCATCTTAGATCTAGGTTCACTCATTTAACCTTCTTAAACCAAAGACCAATATCATTAATATCACATGCAAGTAAGATCTTACTGAAGATAATTCAGAAACGTTTGCAGCAGTATATTGACAGAGAACTTCCAGAGGTTCAAGCCGGATTCAGAAGAGGACGTGGAACAAGGGATATCATAGCTGTTGTCAGATGGATCTTGGCTCAAGGCAGGGAATACCAGAAAGACGTTTACTTGTGTTTTATTGACTATGCAAAGGCATTTGATTGTGTGGATCATGACAAATTATGGACAACATTGAGAAGAATGGGAATCCCCAAGTACTTGATTGTACTCATGAGGAATCTGTACCTTGACCAGGAGGCTGTCGTTCAAACAGAACAAGGGGACACTACATGGTTTAAAATCAAGAAGGGAGTGCGTCAGGGTTGTATTCTTTCTCCACACTTATTCAATCTATATGCTGAGCAAATAATCCGAGAAGCTGGACTATATGAAGAAAAACGTGGTATCAGGATTGAAGAAGAATCATTAACAACCTGAGATATGCAGATAATACAACTTTGCTTGCTGAAAGTGAGGATGACTTAAGGCACCTACCGATGAAGGTTGAAGAATACAGTCTCCAGTATGGATTACATCTCAACAAAAAGAAAACAAAAATCCTCACAACTGGACCAATGAGCAGCATCACAATAAATGGAGAGAAGATTGAGGTTGTCAAGGAATTCACGTTGCTTGGTTCTACAATCGATGCCAACGGAAGCAGCAGTCAGGACATTAGACGACGTGTAGCATTGGGAAAGTCAACTGCGAAGGAACTGTTTCAAGTGCTGAGGAGCAAGGATATCTCATTGAAGACTAAGGTGCGCCTGACACAAGCCATGATATTTCCAATCGCCTGGTATGCATGTGAGAGCTGGACAATGAATAAGGAAGACCGAAGAAGAGTTGATGCTTTTGAGTTGTGGTGCTGGCAGAGAATGCTGAAAGTACCATGGACTGCTAAAAGAACTAACAGATCTGTCCTGGAGGAAGTGCAGCCAGAATGCTCCTTGGAAGCAAGAATGGCCAGACTTCGTCTCACCTATTTTGGTCATGTTGTAAGAAGGGACCATTCCCTGGAGAAGGATGTCATGCTTGGTAGGGTGGAGGGTCGACGAAAGAGGGGGAGGCCTTCAAGATGGATTGATACGGTGGCTGCGATGATGGGCTCAAGTATAGCAGGGATTGTGGGGCTGGCGCGGGATCGGGCAGTGTTTCGTTCTGCTGTGCATGGGGTCGCTATGAGTCGGAAATGACTCGACGGCACTTAGCAACAACAACAACAACAAACCAAAGACAACACCCATTGGCATCGAGTTGATTCACTCAGAGTGATGCTGTTGGACAGGGTAGCACTACCCCATAGGGTTTCCAAGGCTGTAAATCTTTACGGAAGCAGACAGCCACATTTTTCTACTGGTGAGTTCAAACCATTGATGGTTTGGTTAGCAGGCAGGCATTTTAACCACTGCGCTAACCACCAAGGCAACCTTAGCAAACCCAAAACACACCTGTTGCCTTTGAGTCAATTTCAACTCATAGTGACCCTGTTACAAGCCTCTTTTACAAAGACGATAAAGCCTGTTAAAGATTTCCCTTTTGGGAAACCCATAGACTGTTCATTGAAGAGTGAGTATTTATAGCCCAGTAGCTAACTGCTTAAATTCTTTATTATTATTATTTATTTATTTATTTATTGTGATTCGGGTGAAGATTTACAAAGCAAATTC